ATGTAAATACAACAAGGACAACAAAGTCGTCTACTACCTTCCGAAACAGGGCACGGAACGAACGCCCAGACTGAAAATGGAACTGGAGGCCTGGAAGATAGCCATCACAGATGTGGCTCTGGACGCCATTGGCGGTACCAATGGCGCGTCATGGAATGACCTTTCGAACTTCATGGCCGTCAATTATGAATTGGGAGAGCTGAATATTGAAAGCGATAAAGAGTGGATTAAGAATGCCGTCGAAGCCTTGATCGTAGATGAAGTGCTTCATGTTAAGCCAGATGGCCGAATCGATTTCAAGCCGTATAAACCATCGACGAAAGAATCCGAGTGAACTAATCGGGTGTAATATGCAGCGAGTAATGAACCCTGCATATTACAGAAAAAGCATAAAATAATTTAAAACGAAAGAGAAAAGTGTTACGAAAGGTCAACTGAAAGCAGTACTAGGACTAATAGAAAAGGTCACAGTAGTCAGAGAGTACTGATAACGTGAGAAAGGTCACCACGTTACAGTGATAGAAAAGGCAGCAGGAGCTAGGAAAGTCTCAGCTCAGTAACGGAATAGGCGTAAAATGATAGAAAAGCCTTGATATGGATAGGAAATGGAAAGGATTAACGTGGAGAAGTTAATATGACGGATTGTTTTATAATTACAGATTGAAGCGGAAAAATGGCACAGAAAGGTCAAGCCACTCCTAAACGTACGGGAACGGCGGCAGACATAGATCAGTTTACGGGCTATAATCCGAAATGTCCGGACTGCTTAAGGAACAACAAAAAGGTTGATAAGAAATTCCCTTGCTACACCTGTATTCACAAGCTGGAAGACCCACATACTGTCACGCTTGTTGGGATCACGGAAGCCAAACGTGGGAACTTGGACGTTTTTCGAAATCTCATAAGCGCAAGAAATTACGGCAGCATCCCTGTAGAAGAGCGAATGCTATTCGAAGATCGTTATCGAGAAGCGATCCGAAACAACGAACCTGGCTGGGATGACACCTTGGAGCCGTTGAAGTGTCCACAGACAGACGCGTATCGGAAGAAATTTGAAGAAGACCAAGCGAAGATGCGAGCTCAGCAAATGGAAGACGAAATCCGCGCGAAAATTAATGCGGAGAATAAGAGAGCAAGTGAACAGGCTGCACGAGAGGGGTTGCCCAGTACGTCGGGTTTAGCTCCACCCACGGGCATGGCCAGCCTTAATGAAGACGAAATGCAACTCGTACGACAGTCGCTTATCATTCAAATTGAAACGTTAACGAAAGATCCAGTTGCTATGTCAGACGAGATATTCAAAATGCTGTTGCGGGAAAAGAAACGACTGCAAGACGGGTTCGCGCCGGCACCATACATAAAGAAGGAAGTCGAAAAACGTATGGATGACCTACGTAAATCTCGCCGAACTGAAAGCGATGTGCTGCAAGCACTCAGAAGTTTTAAACGGGACGAAGGTTTCATTCGACCTCGGTCGCCTCCGCATAGAGAAAGGTCACGCGGATACTCACGTGAACATGAGCGGACTTCCGAACGCCAGAGCGAAAGGTCACGTGAACATTCTCGGGAAAGGACACGTGACTACCACCGTGAAAGGTCACGCGAACGCTCCCGCGACAGGGATTACCGCGGCGGAAGAGGATGGGTACGCCACGGCGATGAAGTGACCGAGATGAGCATTCAGAGGAAGATCGACACAACGAAGTTATTGGCAGCGACCAGAGAACGTGAAGAAAAACGGCGTGCGGAGACATTCCGTACAGAACCTGAAAAGGAAGGGCATCAGGTGCCGATGGGAGTTGCATTCCGGAATCGCAATGTCAGAATGTCAACACCTGAAAGGTCATGGGACAAAAGACGCGAACAAACGCGGAATCGAACACCCGACCGACAGGATAAAAGATGGCAACAGAGAGCTGCATTTTATGCGACCTTTGACTCGGGCGCAAGCAAAAGGTCATCAAGCACTGAACGGGAAGATTCACCTCCAAAGTATCAGCGGGTGGAGTCAGTGGTTCACGTAGTGGAACCAATTGTGAGCGTCGTACAAGAAGACGATGCGATGGAAGGGACCAGCTCAGTTGTCGAAACCACGTCTCAAGAGAATGTGACTCACCGACGAAATGTGATCCTGGATAGTGACCTTCAACCGGCTTCATCGACGAGTAATGAACCGTCGCAGCCAGCATCAGCAGCCCGACGTGAACCGGAAGGTCAAGGCGAACAGGATAATCGTCGCCAAGGCGATCAGCGATTACACTCCAGATTTAATAACCGACAACCAGAAAGTATTGACATGGAATACAAGACGACTGATATTGATGAGCAAACGGTCGAAATTTGTCGATACTTTGGACTCGAGCCGGATTCGGTTGAAGCCAATAAAATTGGCACAATTCTGCGACAGCTGAGTCAATTCTTACTTGACTCGGGTTACGCGAAAGAAATTAAAGAGGGAGTGGAACAAGGACTTTTTCGCCGGTTATTCATCCACCGCGATTCGGTACGGGACTGTTATCTCCCTATCAGACAGAATGGGCTACACAGCTTAGTGGATTTGAACTTATTGGATGTACCATTGGATACAACTGACCCAATCGGAATGACACAGTTTTATTATCGCGATTATCCTGAACGACAGGAATATGTGGCTCAGTTTGTTCTACGCTACGTGAATCCGGCTTTCAAGTTGTTAGCTGCGAGAGCATCGATCGGATTACAGGTGGATCCGAAGGACCATGCCGCAAAAAGGATGGGGCAAAAGGTCTTCGCTGCGAGATTGGCACATTACAAGACACAGAATCAATTGGTGTCTAATACTATGAAGGACGACATTCCACCGTTCTTCCGGGCTCATGTCGCTAAATTGGGACAACCGTTGGAACACATTAGCATAGCCCATAATGCTCGAAAGGCGCTGAAGAAATGTAAGACACGGATGGAAAAGGGCAACTTGACACAGCGCCATGCCTCCCAAGTTGAAGAGAGGATCAATAAGATCAAAGATTCTCTAGGAAGTGACTATGTGGAACCGGTAGACGGAGTCGAGACTTACATTGATGACTTCTTGGTGAAGAAAAGTGACCGTCGTCCGGAACGTGCTCCTAACCAGATGGGACGACGCGGTATACGGAACCAGCAGCTTAGGGAGAATCTCGCTGATGTGCAACGTCGCCTAGCTAACGACCCCGATAACCGAAGACTGCGACTAGAAGAAAATGACGCACGCCATCGACTTGAGGCGGTTAAGCGAAGTCGCCAAGGTAAAGGTCGTGGCCAACGAGAAGTCGACCCGACAAAGGTCATGGAAGTCGACTCGACGGAACCAGTTGACCGAACTTCCGACCGAAACCAACCGGAAAGCGCTAAGAAACGCCCGCCGAGAGATGGCGAGGGCGATTCAAACGAAATGGAATAGTGTTGACCTTTAGGATCACACTATTGAAAGGACGTCTACGGCATTTGTCGCGTTTATAGCACAGAATTGCCTAAAGAAATCAGGTGGAATATCTATGGGGTTGAAATTGATTCGGTCTATAAAGCCGGCCCCAAGGGAGTAGTTACGGCAGTTAGCCGGCTCTCCTCTCTAAGCGACTCAGTGTTATAAATGCACAAGAGAAACAACGGTAATCAAGCCGGATCTCTTGAATACGAAACGGGGCCACAAGCGGCGAAAAAGAGAAAGACAACAGGTGGAATATTGATGAGGTTAACTTAATGCGGCAATCAGCCGGCCTCATTAGAGTTGCTACGGTAAACTGTGCCGGCACTCTTTTTAAGCGATTCAGTGTTCAAATTAAAACGAGAAAAACTACGGTAACCAAGCCGGATTTCTCGTAATAACGTAAGCCACAAGCGGCGAACAAGAGTCAAAGACTTAAGGTGGAAATTTCATGGGGTAAAACTCAATGCGGTAATTGGCCGGCCCCATCAGAGATGCTACGGTAAACTTGCCGGCACTCTGGCCGCTCGAGGCATACTGAGGTTGGATGTGCGACAGAAAGGTCAAACTAAAAAATTTTACCAAGGAGGCAAGCGAAGAAGTGCTTGAAAGCCGCAGAAAATTGGCTAAGTTCCTCCATGACCTGTGATGGAAGTTTGAAGAGAAGTCAGATGACCTTTGGGATCATTACCGCCCAAGAGAGTCATCGTATCAGAATTTAAGTCGCATGACCTTTTTGGGACTATTAACCCATAATGAGTCGCACATCTCAACGGATCATCTCAACAAAGGATGACCTTTACCAGGGAGGAAGCGAACTACGCTTGTCTACATGACGTCCCTCCATGACTTTTATTGGATCTCATTTTGAAGTCGTACGAATGATACGCACCATATTCCAAAGATTGAAGCAGTATTCCTAAGTCGTACTTGATACGCACCTGATTCTCAAGCGGATTGTGATGAAAAGTCGCATTATGGATGCGCGGCATTGCTCAACAGAGCGGAATGGGCCAAAGTGCGGAAAACGGTGGACAGGACCTGTGACCTTTACGAGTCAGAAATGGAGGATCCTAGTCTACATTTTGATTAATACTTTTGTTGATCTGTTTAACTGTTGATCTGTTTTCTGATAGTATTTTTATAATTGGATCTCTTTATTCACATCGTATTAAATGGAATTGTGCCTTATGGAATTGATGTGATATGATAAATGGATTAAGAGAATTTGATGTTTTGAGCGCACACAGACACCGGCGACCGTCGTCTTCTCGTGGATCCGGGGTGTGTCCAGCCTCACAGGAGCTCGGCATCCCCCAGAGGCATGTGAGACCGGGATCACTAGCGTTCACGTCAGTGGCGCTACGCCTGTGGCGCTACGCCTTTGGACTACGTGTCTGTGTTGTGTCTCTTGTGATTGGCTTGCGTTCTGATAGTGGGCGCGGCATAGCACGTGCTGCACAGCGCCGCACGCTGTTGAATTGGCTCTACGATTTACGATCGAGCTGCGCCGATCACTTGTTGATTTCTGTTCTCCAGACTTTCAATATTATTAAAAGTCAGCGATTACGGTGCGACGTTTTGTGTTTCCGCATAGCTCGCGACCCAGATCGTGTCGCTCACTCCACGGGATAGATTCCGTTTCTGTCTCCGTCTGTGGATCCATTCTGGATCTACCATTAGACTATGATAAAATACGTACTAGAGTAGTTTAATACATTTTTATTTTACCTGTGATTGTTACCTATCATTTGTAATAATCATGTGAATTACAGTAAGTACCTATAGAAAATCGTGATATGTTTTAGCATACGCTCAGCACAACTTCTTTCTGTGAAACCCTGTAATCAGACCACCATTAGAAGAAAGTACCCTCATCCAGTTAGACGCCAGTATAAAAGTCAGTCCCCTCCACGAGTGTCGATATTTCATTGAAGCCTAATTCATCATCGAGATGAACGCAACACCCCTGCATTACGGGCAGTTGGGTACGGGTACTCGTGAGTTGAATTACGGGAACACAGTGCTGGTGCAGCGCGATCACGGCCAATGGTGGCTGGGATACGTTCAGGATATTGACGGCGACCACTTCTACATAGATTTCGACGCTACCACAGTTAACTCGCAATGGATTCACGCTCGTCATCTGTGGCCGCACCAGTTCTTAAGGAACCGTCCACTTTGGGGTTTCACTCCCTATTCTGTCCAGGTGGCACTACGGGATGCTGACAGTCAGCCGTTGATTTTCCGACCGGGTGCGGTCATCCACGATTCCGGAGGTATATATCGCGTCGTCAGTCTGAACGACGGAAACCCTCGACACATGGTGCACCGCGCCCAGCTCGTCGAACAACTGCCGACGTCGGATGATGGACAGAGCTTTTTTGAAAGACAGTCGGGCTTTTTGTACCGAAAGCATGTTATCCGCTTCGCTCAAGCGAATTTGTTGCCACCGCTGGATTTTCTACCGATCAGGATTGCCCGTACATGCCGTTTATCCTTTGACCGCGACCGTGAAGTGTGTTACGCTAGCTGCTGCTATAAAATTAAGCTGTATCGGCCGGACCACATGCTGTTCGTCTGCTCCGGGCAGCCATGCCACCGAGGCGGTATTTACGAATTTAATGTCGGTTGTCGGGTTTTTGTGCGAGTGGGAACGGATGCGGTCACTTTCATCTGCGCCGAAGTGCATGGCGATGCAAGCGGTCGTAGTATGTTCTGGGATAAGGATTCGCTAACGGCGGCTTGTGGACGCTACCTCGCCGAAAAAGTGGCGAAACAACAGATGAATATTGTAGAGGCACCAATGTTTAATTTGGATTCTGGTAAAACCGGTAAGCAACGTAGCTACTAAGATGTACCGCAAAAGGTTTCAAAATTCCCTATCTCTACCTAGGGTTTTCGACAGATGTGGATGAAATGTTAAACACACTTCCGCATTCCCTCATGGCATTCATTCTGGGTAGTATGGACATCAATACTCAGTCACAATTCAGACGGTAAGTCTGTTCGGTCCCAACACGTTGCCCACCAAATAATCAAGACCGACACTAGTGTCTAAACTAGCTTTTTCGTTTTGAAATTTTTTATTCCGTTCATTTGCCTTACGACGGCTGCGAAAGTTTTTGAACGCACCTGATACGAAAAACTGAGCAACTATTGGGCGAGCAAAGTTAGCTGCGAAATTGTTTTTATAGTGTCTGCGCGCTGTGGAATGTACTTTTGCCGTACTACTCAAATAACCGGCACATCATTATGGCCCTTAAAGGAACCCGTGTTTATGAGCACCAACACCAGAAATCAAACGTTGCTCACGACTGCGGCGCATACAACCTCGTGACCATGTTGAGTCGCGTCATCACTCGGGACATTCAAACGCTAGCGTTTGTTGTGGATGAGCCGTCGCCCGACGCCTTCCTGAACCTACGAGAACCTCTCTCAGCGATTAAGCAATTCCTGCAAGCCAAGGAGATACGAGTGACCACGATTATCGTCCGGAACGGGTACGATGTCGCTGGCTTGTGGCCGTACGCCTTCCTGAAAATGCACCTCCGTCACAGAAACGGCAAGTTGGAGTACGACCTGTTGACGGCGTCTGTCAGCAGTTTCTGCTCATCAACTACGCCGCGACCGAGGCCATCAGTGGATCGGCTTGGGAGGTTGCGTTCAGCGCTGAGGGAGCAGTAAGGAAGTCCGAACCTAACCCGATGCGTTACGGTCATAATGTCAACCAGCAAAAAATCATCATTCCGTTTCTGCGCTTCCGCTGTACGGATGCGTTTAACGAGCAAAGGATGCGCTTTTTAGAAGCGGCTGACGACCATTGTCCGCACGTCTCTCAGCGTGTATATAACAAAGTTGCCGCGGTTTATGCCGGTTGGGTGCAGTCATTGCCTTGTCCCGAGGAATGGACGAGTATTCGCCTGTTTCTACAGATGTAAGTAGCAATGCAAGATACTGTATATGAACAAAAATATGAAAATTTTTAAGTGTTGGTATGGTTGATTGCTGAGCCGGTTATTCTTCATTAATCAGGTTCAATAGTTTGCGGCCCGAAGACCATGCACAACGCTGGTGGACCTTCGATCTTCGACAACTGGATCTGGCCACGTTGACCAGAGTGACCTTCGCGGCACTGGATGGGTGCTTAAAGGATTGACAGAATCTAACAGCCACAATCGGTGTGCGGCATTTTACGTTATTTGTCATGGTGTTCTTGGAAGGATAAACTCTCCCACTAAAACCATTAACAGAAATCTGTATCTGGAATTTTCAGCAGTTAATCCTTTTGCCCTTCTAATTATCATTGTTACTTTATTTTTCCTCTTCATGGTAACATCATCACAAATGCCCTGCGCCCAAACGGAACCCAGCAGAAATTTTTTTCATTTTTTGTGCAATCAGTGTTGTGCTAGTAACTGTTTTATTCTTGTGTCAGTAATCTCATGGTGGTTCACACATCATCCAAAACGATTTGTCCAGGTTGCCTCGAATGGCAATTGCACCTTCCGTGTCATACTCTAATTTCGAAAAACATAACGCGACTTGTAGAGGGGCATTTTTCTTAAGGTCTTTTTCTGCAAACAAGTAGCAACAATAAATAGGTGGAGTCACGCACAAATATGCGGTACTTCGCCGAGGCGCAAAGATTACTACGACATTGACCAGAGTGCGTTTTGAAATTTATCGCTTAAATCAAGAACACAATTCCAACATATCTGGCACTCGACGGAGTTTTAACGCCGGCTACCAGTGAACCTCGCACATTTCATGAGCTGCTGGAACGGCTATGATGAATATAGGGCGTAGATCTTGGTAAAACTGGCGGAAGCAGTACTTGTGCTAATTGGAGCGTTGGCACCGCGGCTCATGTCCGGATCCGCTGGCCGACGATTCTGCCGCAGCTTGAATTGTTGATAGGCTTCTGCACGACGAGCAACAAACCACACCTACATCCCATGCCTTAGGCCTTATTCAAACCCATCAATAAACAGCAGCGACTTACCTGTATTTCGGGTTCAGCTAAATTGATCTTTTCGGCTAGCGTTTTTCTTGTGTTGAAACAGGGATAATGTTTTTGCGTACAACATAATGCTGCAGAGATTACAGTGGAATGCGTGAGGAGGTATCAGGGTTGATCGGGACTTATCTTTCTCCAGCGCCTCAACCTGCTAGTTAATGAGTGAGGGTCGAATAGGCAGCGTCTCAGATTTCGGTGCAAGGGTGACTTGTGCGTCGGTATCATTTGTCGAACTGCTATTCCCTGCATGCGCTATCGGACTTGACGGTCGTGTGTGATGAAGTGGTGTTAGTCAACACATGGTAATACTTCCTACTGGCGAGGATCGTACAGTACGATCCTCGCCAGTATCAATCAGTGCCGTCCAGTACGATTCGTACTGGACGGCACTGATTGATACTCATCATGGCTGGCTGGGGACTCATTGATGAACACGCCCACCGTACAGATATCGCTCACATGAACATCGTCATTCCGTGTCTGCGCATCCGTTCCATGGAGACGCCAACGGAGCACCGTCGACGCTTTCTCTCCGCACTCAACGTCCAATGCCCGGCCGTCAGTCAGCAAACTCATCAAAATGTGACGGCCCACCATACGTTCTGGGTGGAAACATTGCCCGATTACGATGACTGGAAGTGTATTCGCGTCTTTCTCAACATGTAAGGATTTGGATGGTAATGAACCCTTGTTCATATCATTACAATCTTCGCTCCACGGCGATATACTGCAATATACTGTATACTGTATTAGTGAGTTTTACGCCAGCTGTTTGTTGCTGTTGCTTGATTGCAAAACAACCGACATTTGTCGCATTCGCCTTACGGTACAGTATAATCCACCGGAATTGTTGATGACAGTACCCGGCCGGAAAAACAATGGATTTCCGTCAGCATTCCGTAGTGCCACCAAGAGGTTCTGGTCAATGCTGCACAAGTTTCCAAATTGAGAAATGGTTCCGGCACATGGCCCCAGATTTGCTTACATCCACTAGAGCTTTCGCCCGCTCTCAAAAATTTTTTTGTATTCAGAAGGAGTAATTTGTACTCACTGTGTATAACGACGTTAGTTCAAAAAGCGTTTTTGCAGCATCCAGCTAGTGAAATGAGGCGAAATAGACAAAATGTTTACACGTTCTCCGTTAAATTCCTTCGCTTGAAAAGACTTTTACCGAATAAAGACAGGTATTTCTAGTAATATTTTCAGTAGTTTATACCAGTTTTTATTAGTTACAAACATTAGTACGTATAAATATACGTTTAGGCGTCGAGTTCACTTAAGAGTCATGTCGTTAAAACTGCTTCAACGATGCAATCAAAATACTGTAATTTTTAAACTATGCCTTGCATTGCGAAACATCAGGATCAAGAAGTTAAGAACACTGCGTGTTAAAAGGTCGAAAACAGCAGCTAAAAGTTTTAAGCAGTTCTCACAATATCTGACTGCCCTAAGCGTCGTATCTGGCCCATGCTCAACCTCGGACTTGGAATCGGACTTGGAATACTAAAACTTGGACTTGGACTTCACTTGGACTCTAAAACTCGGACTTCACTTGGACTCTAAAACTTGGACTTCACTTGGACTCTAAAACTCGGACTTCACTTGGACTCTAAAACTTGGACTTTATGACTTGGATTTGGAATTAGGCGTTTCTTGTGTTTCTTATGTCTTCTTACGTTTCTTCATGTTTTCTTAAGTTTCTGAAGTTTCTTATGTTTCTTAGGTTATTTTTAGGTTTCTTTGGTGTTCTTAGATTTCTTAGGTTTCTTAGGTTTCTTAGGTTTCTTAAATTTCTTAGGTTTCTTAGATGTCTTAGGTTTCTCCGAATACCAAAGAATACCTAGATAACCTAAGAAATGTTAGTAACCTCAGAAACCTAAGAACACCTAACAAACCTAAGAAACCTAAGAAAACCTACAAGTCGCTTAAGTGACTCTAATGACTTATACTAGAATTATTTTAGTTCGCTTAACAGTTTAAACGGAATGTACTTTACTTTACCATTTTTTCCATGGAATGGTCTATCTTAGAGCTACAACTTGTAAAAGTGCATCCAATCTTAACGACCAGCGTGCCTAGCAAATATAAGAATAACGTTCGTTATCCAGCACTTGCGCAGATCCATTCAAATTAATTTCAGATCTTGCACAGATCCATTCCGTGCCATTAATATCGTTCCCTAACTGTGCAACTATTAGTCTCAAGCAGGAACACGCCTGTTTGAGTTTTCCAGTAAGTAACATTTTGACGTGCTTTAAATTTCTCAGCTTTCGTCGTCAATCAGTAGACTCGCTGCGTCATCGCGGACATATGCTGTCTCACGCCGTCGCAACAAAATTGTCCGTCTCGAGCTGCGCGGTTCAGCTTGCACCAAAGTCGTGGCGTCACGGGGGAACAGCCTGCCGGCAGCGAAAGTACTGTCGCGGGCTGTCGCGATTATATACCGTGTCGCGGCTGTCGCGGCGTCGCGGCATACAGCCTGCCAGCAGCGAAAGTACTGTCGCGGGCTGTCGCGGTTATATACCGTGTCGCGGCTGTCGCGGTGTCGCGGAAACACTGCCTGGCCGCAGCACAAGTACTGTCGCGGTGCTGTCGCGGTTATACACCGTGTCGTGGCTGTCGCGGCGTCGCGGTATACAGCCTGCCAGCAGCGAAAGTACTGTCGCGGGCTGTCGCGGTTATATACCGTGTCGCGGCTGTCGCGGTGTCGCGGAAACACTGCCTGGCCGCAGCACAAGTACTGTCGCGGTGCTGTCGCGGTTATACACCGTGTCGCGGCTGTCGCGGCGTCGCGGTATGCAGTCTGCCAGCAGCGAAAGTACTGTCGCGGGCTGTCGCGGTTATATACCGTGTCGCACGTACTTCAAGGTTGGTCCTGGACGCGACACTGACAGCCGATTTCAAGTTTGGTACAGATTGAGTCACTTCTGTCCCAGCCACCACTGGCCGCTGTGGCGCTGTACTAGTACCGTGTTTCCGTAGTTCACCTCGCGTGCACCTTCATACACTTCTTGAAAATACAGCGGTGTCACGCTCATGACAATCCTGAATCCGGAAATGGCAAGCAGAAAATTGTCGTGGAGACAGATCTGACGATTACGGGTTGGACGATGCAGTTGAAGCTTAGCTAACTTAGATAACTTCGAAATTCGAATTTACAGTCTTTGCAATAACTGAGTTGTACCGTACCATATTGTAATAGTGAAAAAAACAGCTGTCGGTGGCAGCTGCATAATTTCTATCGCGTAACGTGTTGCATTTGAACTGCGAATGCGCTCATTTCATCGCATTATGGTAACGGTGGTAAACTTTTGGGCGGAATTGCGATAAAGGAATTCAGTATTCATATTATAACAATCTTTGCCGCATTGATGATATTCGCCGGTAACGATGGTAATGAAACGCACATGTTGGATAATTAACAATCATCATATTGCATCACTGTGATTACTTACCCATGATTTAATAGACAAGAAAATTAAAAGGTCAATGGCAAAATTTATAATAGTCTTCCAGCAAACATTTCTAACGCAGTTATTTCACCGCTATCCAATCAGTGCACTGATACAGTTACGCCAATAAATATTTTCCAATAAATAAAAAGCAATCCATGTATTATTTTGCAGACAGCATGGTCTACGTGTAGCGACAATGAAATGTACTATGCGTCTTGTCATTATATTGTTATATTAGTCCCTAAATCAATCTTTAGTTGCATCAGCTTTCGAAGCTTCCACATTAAAAGTTTCCAACATTAAAAGCCTGCTTAAATTCTAAGGAAGGCCGGAATGGAAGTCCATACCTCTGAATAGTCACCCAGTGCGCATGTATCGCTTTGACCTTTTCACGTACACGCTGGGTAATTCGTCAGACAGTTTTCGTTGGCTGCGGATAAAAAGCGTTGGCATCGTTCAGCAACGGTTACATTTGCACGGAAACGCAAGAAAGGAAAGGTTACAGTACATCCTGTCGGACATTATCGCGACGGAACAAACCATCACCACGATTCCGCAAGGCCTTTCCGCCACTACCGTGGCACTGTATTTCCCCGGTGGATGCGACGATAAGTAGCTTCCCCCGCAGAATAATTGATCAACAGCAGTTCCTCGCAAACAGTCATCAGTTTAGTCAGCATCTGCCCTTCGTATACTTTGCTGTCTTCGACACGAGCAATTGTCCAGAACAAGATCGATGGCTTATCAACAGCACTGGCTCCGTTCGCCACAAGAATCAACGGCAAGCGGATGCCTTTGGTTTCTAACAGCATTTGGATTCCCGAGATTTTAGCGTTGATATCAAAACCGACGCTTGAGTGATTGCAGTAGTCATCAATCAGTATCAATCTGCGTGTGCGCTGATCAACTGTCCGGTTTAGTATGGTCAGGAATTTGAAGGCATGATAGCATCTTTCCACTGCCAAAGACTGGTCGTACGATTTTCTGGTCGACGTTCGACGGCTGTCAAAGACGATGTCCCGATGGCTGGCGTAATCCAGTAGAAGCACCCGCCACAGCGCGCATACTC